TCCATATACCATCCAACCATCAATCAATCTATCTATATCCGTCCATCCATCTGTCAATCTATCTATATCATCTTTCCTTCCATCCATCCACCCATCAATCCATCTAGAACACAGGTGTCAAACTCAGTTCCAAAAGGGCCACAGCTCTCCACAGTTTAGTTCCAACCCTAATTAAACACACCTGATCAAATTAATTGAGTCCTTCAGGCTTGTTTTTTGGAGCAGGGTTGGAACTAAACTGTGCAGGGCTTTGGCCCTCCAGGAATTGAGTTTGACACCCCTGATCTAGAGCATCTGTTCATTCATCCATCCATCCATCCATCCACAGTGTCCATTCTTCATCCATCCACCTAATATACAAATAAAGCTGAATTGAATTGAATGTATCTATCCATCCATCCATCCATCCATCCATCCATCCATCCATCCATCTATCCATATACCATCTAACCATCAATCTATCTATATCCATCTACCCATCCATTTGTCAGGCTATCTATATCATCTACCCTTCCACTCATCATTTCATGTAGAGCATCTATTTATCCATCCATCCAACTACAGTATCCATTCATCCACCCATCAATCCATGGCCAAAAATTATTGAATATAAAGTATACAGTATATTAGTAACAGAAATAAATAACCTACTATTAATCTTAATTTTACGTAAATTATTATATATTTGTAGTCAATATTTACATTAAAATATGTCTTTAAAATAAAACATCGCTGCTTTGATTATAAATATTTCTTATATACCCTTCTACTGCTTGTTGTTCTGTCTGTATGGAATCTTGTGACTTTTATTTTATTTTATTTTTTGTTTGGAGAAAAGTCTTATTTATTTTAGTTTTTCTTTTCAACAAATGTAAAACAAAAATGCTAAGATCAATATTATTAGCCATTCCATAAGATTTTTCCTTGTCTAATTAACCTAACTTGCCTAGTGATACAAATTAACAAATTTAAAACATATCTCTGTTTTTGTCCATCCCTCTCTATACATTTGTCCATGTCTCCATTTGTTTGTCTTTCTCTTTGTCGTAATTTTTTATCTATTCAGAATGGAGAAGTCCTGTCCACAAGCTGGGATGTAGACTTTGTGTCCCGTCGAGCAAGCAGCGTGTTAAAAATGGAGGTGAAGCCGGAGGACAACCATGCTGTTTTGCAGTGCCAGAGCATCAACCAAGTTACCCGTTCACCAATGTCCCTAACCCGCACTCTTACTGTCCTCTGTAAGTACTCAAACCAAAAAGCATTACACCATAATATAACAGTTAGTCTTGATAAACTTCTGATAAACTTCTGCTCAAAACACATATCAGACTTCCAAGAAGGTCAAAAGCCTCATTGCTTGTACTTTTCTGCATAGCCTCAAAACAAAAGCTTGATCTTTCATGACACGCTGTCACTTACCATAAGCCAATTACACATGGCTGTATCATGGCTGACAAGTAAATCAGGTCAATACTTGCTGCTACTAGCAGTTTCTGTAATCTTTCATTAACAGAGGATAGATTGTGATGCTTCTGTCACAACAAATTCCACATGTAATATCGCTTACAAATCTACTTTCATTGACAGCTACAGCTTTTTTTGAGAAAACATTGTAATGTTGTTTTACAGTACATCAGTGCTGTAAAAAGTAATAATCTTTTGATGTGTATCTATATTTAAATAGCTGAAATAATACATTTTTTTTCACAGAAGCTGACAGTATTTAGTTCACATGCGGTGCAATTTCACGCTTCAGAGTAGTCTTGTACATGATCTCAATACATGTACATGTACATATTCTCTTGTACATGATAATACAAAGGCTAAATACAGTTGAAACCAGAAGTCTATATACACTGTATAAAAAGGCACATAGCCCTTAAAAAAAGTCAAATGTTAATGTGACTAAACATTTTCTCTTTTAAGTAATTTAGGATTATCAAATTTGTTTCTGTTATGCTTAATAGCAGAATAATGAGAGAGATATATTTTTTTGAGAAATAGTTTTAACTTTTCTTGAAAGTCAAGTTTACATGCAATAAGATTATTATGCCTCTGAAAAAGCTCAGATGATGGTGTCAAGGTTTCTGATTGGCTAATTAACAACATTTGAGTTAATTGGAGGCACAACTGTGGAGTAGTTTTTAAGGAAAACCTCAAACACACTGCTTTCTTGTGTGACAACATGGGAAAGTCAACAAGCCAGAATCAACAAAAAAGCCAGATTTGAACTGGTTGGCCATAATGACCATTTGGAAGGCAAAAGGGAAAGCTTAAAAGCCTAGGAAAGAACACCATCCCAACTGTGAAGTATAGGAATGGCAGCATCATGTTGTCACAGCATAGATGGTATCATGAAGAAAGAACATTATGTAGAAATACTAAAGCAACATCTCAAGACGTCAGCCAGGAAATTAAAACTTGGCCACAAATGGGTCTTCCAAACAGACGATGACCCTAAGCATACTGCCAAATTATTTAAAATGTGCTTTAAGGACAACAGAGTGAATGTTTTGGAGTGGCCATCACAAAGCCCTGATCTCAATCCTATAGAAAATTTGTGGGCAGAGTTGAAAAAGCTTGTGCGAGCAAGAAAGCCAACAAATCTGACTCAGTTACACCAGTTCTGTCAGGAGGAATGGGCCAAAATTCCTTTAAACTATTGTGAGAAGCTTGTGGAAGGATACCCAAAACATTTGACCAGAGATATACAGTTTAAAAGCAAAGCTAAAAAAAAATACCCAGGAAATGTATGTAAACTTTTGACTGTCTAGAAATTAATAAAAAATTCTCAAAATAGAATTCTCTCATTATTCTGCCATTTAGCAAATGTAAATCATTTAGGTAATTCTAAAACAGACAGTTCACCCATTTTTTTCTCTTTGAGTTTCTTCTTTCTGCTCAACACAAAAGAAGATATTTTAAAAAATGTCAGAAGAAAACCTGAGCCATTGACTTTCATGGTGTTTGTTTTTCCTATTATATAGGTCAGTGGTTACATTTTTCTTTTCTTTTCTTTTTTTTTTCCAAAATATCTTCTTTGATCTTCAATGAAAGAAAGAAACTCTTAGGTTCTCAATGTTTTATAGCACTTGAGGGAGAGCAAATAATGAGTAGAAGATAAATTTGCTTATATATTACTGTCTGTTCACTTGTCTTCAGCAGTGTTTATAAACTTTGACTAACAGTTGCTTCTATAAAAGAAGTGCCTTAGTGTCCCATCAGTGACAGCTTAATCATGTGTAGAAAAAAGAAAATCAAACATGGTCATTTCTGCTGACCATCAGTACAGTGTTGCAGTTGAAATTCATTAAAATTATGCAATTATTAGAATGTTTCAAACAATGAAAATGACAAATAGTTTTAAAAACATTTAGCTAGGCCAGTGACGAATTATAAAATGGTGAAAATCTAAAAGCCAATCTGATTGGACCTTTTGTAAAAAATATTAAGCATTAACTATGCTTCCACAACAAAGGGGTGATTTAGACAAAACTGGAATATTGCTTAAAAAACAACCATTTGCGAATAAAGCACCGTTTCCATCCAATAAGTCAAAGAGAACAAAATAGTCATGTCCTGATGAACTGGAAGCAAATATCTAAAAGAAAAATGAAATTTACTGCGGTAGGAGAAGCCACTGTGTGTTCTTATTTAATACACTCAAAAATACGTTTGCTGTTTGTTCAAACTTTATTTAAAAAAAAAAAGAGCTGAAATTACATAATTCTTAAGCTTTTTTGGGACAGCTCAATGGTTTCATGTTTAATTCACCTACGTTTGTAAAACTAATGAGCTAACTCTTTATCCGTTCATTCATTTTCTTTTTGGCTTAGTCCCTTTATTAATCTGCGGTCACCACAGCGGAATGAACCACTAACTTATCCAGCATATGTTTTTACGCAGCGGATGACCTTCCAGCCGCAACCCATCAATGGGAAACATTGATACACGCACATTCACACACAAATACTACGAACAATTTAGCTTACCTAATTTACTTATAACGCATGTCTTTGGACTGTTGGGGAAACCGGAGCACCCGGAGGAAACCCACGCCAACACAGGGAGAACATGCAAACTCGAACCAGCGACCTTCTTGCTGTAAGGCGATTGTACTAGCCACTGCATCACCGTTCAGTCCATGTTGTTCCAACACAAATCAATTATCTGGAACCCAACATTTTTTACAATAATAAATTAAAAATAAAAAAATTGGTGTGTAGTTACATCAATAATACACAAGTAAATACTATGTACCTGTGTGTACATACACTGTAATTACATACTACTTACACATCTAGTTGCCATGTAAGTTCACAGGTATAAGCGACAACATAAAGGGGGACCTATTTTTTATATGTATTTTCAAAAATCTATCCGCATCTTGTCATTTCCATGAATCGTTTTATGCGATAATTAAAAAAGCAACTAAAAAAAGGTGAATAGAAACACAGCTATTTAAATAAAATTGTAAAGAGTTAAATTGTAAAATGAGGAAATTAACATGCAAAAACATTGTAACTTTAGTTATTGCCATGGCAGTATTTACAGTGGTATCAAAATTTTTTAAGCTATCGACTACAAGTTAGCAGTTCTAGTATCCTGACAACACTAGTTCACACAAACACTGATACCAGCTTTGTGTTTATTAGCCGATCTCTCTAGACACCATTTCATTGATCAGTTGGATCATTATTTCAGGCCTGTAAGAGGATCACGAGAATGTGTCTTAATCCGCTGTGGCATGACTAGCTTGTTTAAACAATCTGCTGGGAAGATATGCTGACTGTCCATTTATCAGGCCTCTGTTTCTGTGGTGGTAATCACTTTTCCTCGCAGTTGAACCAGCTGAGGTAACGTTACTGGGCTCCTTTGAAGCTGTGGAAGGAGAGGAGATCAATCTGAGCTGCTCCACGTCCTCCAGTAATCCACCCGTTCACATCCGCTGGTGGCTCGGGTTCAAAGAGCTCAACAGAACAGAAGTTACCTTCGCCGAGGTATTTCACACTTCACTTAACGGTCAAGATGGGGGTGTAACTGTCATTTAATAAATTAGCTCTTATAGTTTTGGATAAAAATGCATTGTTATACTGTAATAAGTCGTAAGAATATACTATTGTGGACAAAATCATTAGGAATGGTCCTAGGAAATGTGTATTCTTTTTAAGTTATTTCCAAAATGCCATTTAACCGAGAAGAAACTGTTTAAATTGTCCACAGTGCATAAGTGTATGTGTGTGTAAATGAATGTGTATGGGTGTTTTCCAATACTGGGTTGCAGCTGGAAGGGCATCCTTTGTGTAAAACATATGTTGGAATAGTTGGCGGGTCATTCTGCTGTGGCGACCTCTGAAATGGAGACCAAGCCGAAAGAAAATGATTGAATAAATTAATGTATAATTTCTCAAGGAGGTTAATAATATATACCCAACACAGGCTCATTGCAATTATCTGCACAGGACTGCATTTTTGAGAACCGACAAATATGTACCCTGGACTACCTTGCCTTGCAGTTTTTGTTTTCACAAAACCCTGAGAGGTTGGCCTGTATATTATTCACATCGTCAAATATGTTACTGAAGCATGTTTTCTCATACGTAGCATTTCTTGTAAATCTACCAGAGGCATTTCTGTAAATGATAACATCCTTTTTGTGCACGTCCGTGGAAGAAGCCGGTCAGCTTGTCATTGTGCTTAATATATCAGCTTTATATCGACTGACCCAACCTCATCCTTCTCTTTTTCAAAAACAAACTAGAAGAGAAGAGTCATTGCGGTCATGTGCTTCTACCACGTCTTTACACTGCTTTTTTGGGTTTCATTTTACTTGGGTTTTATTTTACCCCGGTTCGCTATGCCTCCCAGGTCTGCCGCCATTCACGGTGAGCTACCGCACAAACCAGTCATGAAAAGCCATCCATACAGCAGCAAGACCACCTTTAGTATTTATTTTACACATAAAATGTATCCTTATGTACCTGCGAGCATATATTTTTCAGTTCTCAAAAATGTACAGGAGTACACATTTTCCCATTGTAACTATTTGTTACATTTTTCTACATTAGAGACAAAATACTACACCATAATAATACATATATATGACACGTTGAGTAGTCCCCTCCCCATTTCCCCACCCTCCCTATTTCTTCCATAGATATATTAATAAACAAAACTATTTTCTCAATTAACAACATCGATAGTACAAAATAAGAATAAAAAATAAATTCCAGCTTTGCAATCACATTATAACGTATAGTACATTACAAATAATTCAAGTTTATGATATTTAACAGTTATCAATGTTTTAATATTTATCAAATTCTTGGTGAGCATAACAAACTCCTTCTAAAAATGTAAGTCAAACTCATGTCAAAATATTTCTATTATAACAAAAATATATTGTGGAAATATGATATAATATAATATAATATAATATAATATAATATAATATAATATAATATAATATAATATAATATAATATAATATAATATAATATAATATAATAATATATAATATAATATAATATAATAATATATAATATAATATAATATAATATAAGATTATAATATAATATAATATAATATAATATAATATAATACAATACAATATTATAATATAATATAATACAATATAATGTAATATAATATAATAATATATAATATAATATAATATAAGATTATATTATTATATTATATAACATAAAATAACATAATATAATATAATATAATATAATATAATATAATATAATATAATATAATATAATATAATATAATACAATTTAATGTAACTGATACCAGTGCACTTACTTTATCACACAGTTTTGGTTCATCCTCAAATGAATAAAAGATCTTCACAGTCCACGCTATAAAATTAAGTTAACACAAGGATCATATTCATTCATACACACATTCACCTTGCCACATCTTTAATTTGTAACTCTAAAAATATGTCTTACTTCATCAACAATACAAACTACCATCTAAACACTTTCCCGAGCCGAGAAAGGCTAGCGCTTGATTAAAGGAATAATTCTCAATTATTGTGCAGAATAAAGCCAGCGAGCCTTGACCCGAGAGTGATTCAAAGTCTCCATCAAGACTCTGCTTTTACTTTTAGATTCTATTAGTTACTACATAATATTCTGTGAGATCAGGGGCTTTTAGAGTCTCTCTCTTTTTTTTTAATCTCCCGCTCTTCCTCTCCAGAGGCTGATTTGAATGAAACATAAGTGAATAAAAGCCGACCCGAGGCTGCTCTGCGCTTCACAGGACCCTCCTTGTTCATTTGGAGGTGTTTTACATCTGATCTTTCATTTACATGCTGGTGTTAATTTAATATTTTATTTTTTTTCACTCCCAGCTATTCTTCATGATATGTTTCCTAGCATTGGTTTGACTGTAATTAGCTGCGAAGCCAAGGTCAGTGCTCTAAGAAGGTATCATTTAGAAGTTAGCAAATGAGCATAAATATTAAGCAGTATTAAAATAATGAAAACGATCAAGGCAACGCTTCTATTCAACACATTTCCCCTGAAGGTTGTGCAGAAATCAGATAATATATAAAGTCACTAATGTTTAATCTCGATGTTTTACCCTTAAATAAAAACTATTTAAGAGTGATGTCTTTTGCTAATAGGACATTTTTTTTATTTTAAATGCATTGTTTTGTTTGCCTACCATTTACTCACTCTCAATTTGATCTAAACCTGTACACAGGGTTGCCACGCTTCTTGAAAGTACTTGAATCTGAGACATATAGATTTAAGGCCTGGAGGGTACCGTACTGTACTGTAAAAAAATATGCAGTGCATCCAGAAAGTATTCATAGCCCTTCACTTTTCCTCATTTTTCAATGTAACAGCCTCATTCCAAAATGGAATAAATTAATTTAGTACCTCAAAGTTCTAAACACAATACACCATAATGACAAATGTGAAAAAAGATTTTTTCAAATTGCTAATTTAAATGGCAAAAGTTGCAAATTTATACAAAACCTGAAAAATCATATGTACATAATAGGGATGTAACAATATTGTAAATACCGTCATACCGCAATAGTAATTTTTTTCAATATTACCTTAGGTGCATGACTCAATAAAACTATATTTCTGAGAAAAGTTTGCTTAGGCGAATGAAGCGAACGGGAGGTAGCGGGAACTACAATTCCCATCAGCCTAGGCATGGCCATCATCCTTTGTTCGTCTGTTGTCACTACAGATCCAGTAATGCGGAAATGAAGTGTGTGAACCTAAAGCGGGTTTTAAATCGGATGTGTGGAAGTATTTCGTTTTTTTTCTAAAAAGATACGAAAAAGGAAAAAAGGTGACAGACAAAGAAAAAAACGGTATTCAGGCACTGCCAGACTGTGGTGAAATATAAGTCGGGGAATACAACTAAAAACAGTCATCGGGACTGCAGAACACAGCACACTTGTTAGATTGATGCAGAGATAGACTTGTGTACCATAAAGAGACCTCTATCTCACTCATGGCTTGTCCTCTCAAGTGGTGGAAAGACAATGCACAGCGTTACCCACTGCTGTCAACCTTGGCTAAATCATATCTCTCTGTCCCAGAAACCTCAGTTCCAAATGAGAGGGTTTTTTTCTGTTGCAGGGGACCTTGTAAATGCCCAGAGATCCCAGCTTTTGCCAGATTATATTTATATGATAATTTTTCTTAAAAAAAAAAAAAAAAAAAAAAAAAACATCTCTATCCAAGTGAGTGAGTGATTTAATGTTGAATGTGATGAGTTTTCAACAATACTAAATTGAAACTTTATTTTTTATACATGGTTTTATAGTTTTTTGTTATTAAAATTGAAAAATTGAAGTTCCTGTTTCAAAACTTACAGATAGATGGCTACTTTGTATGTCATTGATATGTTCAGTGCTAAGGTAAATAAGTACTTTTGGCACTTTTTTCGAGTCTTTTCATTAGTTTTGTTTTCCTGTAAATTACTCAATCAAAACTGTACTGTGCCATTCATACCGAGGTATTACCGTACCGTGAAATTCAGATACCGTTACATCCCTAGTACATAAGTATTCACAGCCTTTGCTCAATCCTTGTTGATGCACCTTTGGCAGCAATTACAGCCTCAAGTCTTTTTGAATATGATGCCACAAGCTTGGCACACCTGTCTTTGGGAATTCTTTTCCCCATTTGTCTTTTTAGTACCTTTCAAGCTCTATCAGGTTGGATGGGAAGCGATGGTGTACAGCCATTTTCAGATCTCTCCAGAGATGTTAAATAGGATTTAGGTCGGGGCTCTGGCTGGGCCACTCAAGGACATTCACTGAGTTGTTGTAAAGCCACTCCATTGATATTTTGGTGGTGTGCTTTGGGTCATTGTCCTACTGGAAGATGAACCATCACCGTCTGAGGTCAAGAGCACTCCTGACTAGTCTTCAAGTTCCTGCTGCTGAAAAACATCCCCACAGCTGCCACCACCATGCTTCACTGATAGGGATGGTATTAGCCTGGTGATGAGTAGTGCCTGGTCTTACCCAAATGTAACACCAGGCATTTACAAGACTTTAATTTTAGTCTCATTAGACCAGAGAATTTTGTTTCTTATGGTCTGGGAGTCCTTCAGATGCCTTCTGACAAATTCCAATTCTAAGAAGTGGCTTCCGTCTGGCCACTTTACCATACAAGCCTGATTGGTGGATTGTTGCACAGATGGTTGCCCTTCTGTAAGGTTCTCCTTTCTTCACAGAAGCTCTATGAAGAGTTCTGGTGGTTCCAAACATCTTCCACTTACGGATGATGGAGGCCACTGTGCTCATTAAAAAGTTTTCTGTAACCTTTCCCATTCTTGTGCCTTGAGACAATTCTGTCCCGGAGGTCTACAGACAATTCCTTTGTCTTCATGCTTGGTTTGTGCTTTGACATGCACTGTCAACCCTGGTTTATATAGACAGGGTATATATGTCCAATCAATCGAATTTACCACAGGTGAACTCCAATTAAGCTGCTGAAACATCTCAAGAATGA